CAAACTGTCGAGATACAAGGTTTGGCTGGTAAGCCATCTGAGCTGCCTGGCCTATCAGGAGGTTAAGTTTGTGGACTATTAGTCGAGGTATTAAGAAACCTTCCCAGACAAGTTTCGCCTCTGCTTCATGTTTTTTGATCGCAGGAGGAAAAACCCTAGTGAACCATTCAGAGCCATATTTCCTCTATGTGAAGGGAGCCATCCGTGGGGTGAACTCATGGCGCTTGGTGAACATCTTAATAAAATCAGAGATATTAGCCCTAAGTGTTTGACCTTCTTCACTGAGGGTGAGCTTGACCAATCGAGTCCATTCGACTCGTCTCCCTGTTATCCCAGGGTCTTCTTCATCAACTACTCCTTTGTTGGGAAGACTGGCCTCGAACGTAGCGTTGAGCCAAAGGTGAAGTAACCAGAAGGGCCTCGACAGTAAAAGGTTCCTGTTGCTTTCTTTGCTTTTCAGTCTACAGACGCCTTCGCTCAAATATTCATATAAACTGGCCAAAATCATCTCACTTAGGTAGATATCTCGATTCAAGTGCAGTTGGTTGGCCAAAGTGAGGTATTTCCTCGCTACCTACAGGGACTTTGTACAAAAGACACAATGAGAGAGCCACATAGCTAGAAATGCTACGTGTTCTTGATCTTTGACGGTTTCTATTTGCTTGTTATGGTAATGATTGATGAAATGGGTGTATGTATGCTTGATGGTCGAAAACCCTATGGTGTCTTGACAATCCACCTCAGGATCGTAAACCAACCCATGAGGTTTGAGCCCTGTGATAACGGGTAGGTTGAATAATGTGGGTGTCATCATCCCACAAGGAAGATGAAAAGTGTAATGGGTGTTATCCCAGAAGTACAGTGAAGATGCCAGCATAATGGGGCAATAGGTAGGACCTTCTTTCGACATCATGATTAAGTTGTAACTTTCGGTTCTCTTCCAAGCGTCAGCTTTGACCTTTTCCACTTTGGTCAGCCAGTTCAGGTAAAGATCAGAATCTTTGAAATAAGGGGTATCACTAAACAACCTGGATCCATCATTCAGGTACTTAAGGTCCACATTATGTAAAGTCAAGCTATTTGGTTTTGCGATAAGAGGGAAAAAAGTCACTAAGGGTTGAATAATTGGTTCCTAAGGGAGACAAAGGGCCAGCCAAAGCTACGGACTTACCTGCAACAGTGATAGGGATTATTACCTACGATTCATAAATGTGCCTCTTTTCTTCTATAAGAGGTTTAGGGATAAATTGTTGGTTCTTCACCATCTTAGGCCCACTCAGTATGGTGAAAGGAGGAAGTAATGACGCAACTTGTAGTCCTTTGGCCTGGGGGGTTTTCTTCTGATCTTTGGTGGTAGCAGTAGAAGACGCCATTGATGAAGTTTTGGTAAAAATGGGTTACCGAAGAAAGATTGGGAGTATTTTAGAAGAGATGCATAAGTGATTGTTGTAGTGAAAAAGTTTAAAATGATTTCTTGTGAAATTATTTATAAGGCATTTTTGAAGTAATCAAAATCCATTATTCATCATTGAAGGCTAAGAGTAGTGGGACACGCGGCGTCCCAGGATTGAAAATGGGGGCGGTGGCAGTTATTGCCTAGACCCACGATTTCATAGGTCCTGAAAAAGTGATGATGGTCTGTGATTTTGTGGGGTTTCCAAGAAACTGTTCATAATGGCCCATGACGTCATGGACATGCGTGAAAGTAGTTGAACAATTTTTTCAAAAGTCATGGGTAGTCAGTTGCATTGACATCTATGTGGAGGTCGAAAGATGGTGTCGAATTGGGTGCTGTCAAAAAATAGTCTTTTTTTCTTCAGCATGGTCGAAAAAGACATTTTTGGGGGGCAATTTATTAGCTCACAAATTCGACGCCCATACTAAATTAAAATGTTTGGATGAAATATTAAACTCTTGAAGAAGTATGAAAAATCTTCGAGTAAAGAGACCTTCGAGTAGGCTGAGCTATTTAAGTATTTTAGACTTAGAAAATATTTTCAAATATTAAAGATGCCACCTTCGACCAAGGCTGATGGCCAAGTATTAGTGGAATTTTGAAATTCAAATAAAGGAGGGAGTAGTTATGCTTTCTCATGACTAAACAAGACAAGTGACACACATCCAACAAGTGACTACATGCGACGTAACACTTGTCATGGGCTGGTCATTTTAGGAGGTTAATGACAGTTAATTGTATTATTATAAATAAGAGTTCTAGCAATTGAATTCAGTGTGTTGTAATTTACTATTGTATAAGTCACTCCCAAAATTACTCAAAGTATCCGAGTGTAGAGAAACGAGTTCTAGGAGAATGTACGTCGTGTAAACGCACCATCTTTACATTTTAATGAAACTTATTTTATTTTGCTTAATCTTAAAGAGTTTATTTTTACTTCCTTGCAGTTTATATTTTTCTTACACTCTGCTTTACTTTGTTTAAATGTTTTAAAGGCTCTTTACTTTGTTTCCTACAAATTCATGTCTTTTCATTTCAGTCGAGCCTTACCTTTGCATTAACCTTTTCTTCAAAAACACTGTCGAAGTGTATAGTTTTAAGTAATTTTCTTTCAAATAGAATTTAACACATGTCTTAGGATCAATCTGATCGATCATGTGAGTCACCAAAGTTAGATTTGGAAGATCAGCGGTTGTTTTCTAATTTTCAAGGAAAACACCGTCATAAACTTCTTTTATACCATTTGGTTATGCAGGAATGAGAAGAAATTTCAGAACAGACTCATCCCTTGAAAATATGCCCTGAATATCATCATTTCCAATGTCAATTTATCAAGTAATCAATTTCTAGCCAACACATCTTGTAGTATGAGAGGCTTTAGAATTCTTAAAGCATTTAGAATCAAAATGCCTCCCCCTAAGGCTGCCATAAATATTGAGGTTATTTGGAAACCTCCTCTTAGGTATTGGATAAAGAGTAATAAGGATGTTATTTTCACATGGATACCTGCTCAGGCTACTTGTGGAGGAATATTTAGAAATCACTATTTGTGGAGGAATATTTAGAAATCACTCGGTTGCCTTACTTGGTTGCTTACTTGTGGAGGTTATTTCGTTACTATCTTTCTTAGAGGTTTTTGGTTTAGGTCTCTCTCTTTTTATTTTCTCCTCCTTTTTATGTAGGAATAGTTTAAAATAGTTTAAAATTTATGAAAAAAAATATAAAAAAAACCGAGTCAACCCAATTAAATTAATTTTAATTGACTCAATATTATTTTTTTCCCCAAAATTGAATCAAACCTCTCATTAAACTCCTATCAAACTCCCATGAAATTTATTTTTCCAAAGAAAACACAACCACATACAAAAACTATGTGTAGTTCATATATTTTGAAAACTGAAAACTCTTTTAAATTCTTTCAATAATAAATAAAAAAGTCAAGTAGAAACGCAAATTCTACTATAGAAATAAACGTAAAAAAATTAAAGTACGACAAGACCGATATAAATCCCATCCAACAGTAAAAAACAAACAAGAGTTCAACAAAAAATTGAAGTTACAAAGATTTGACACAATCTACTTTTTGACTTAAGTAATTTTTATTCACAAGCCGTGTTTGGCAACCGTAATCATAATAAATCATAATCAACTATCATAATAGCTTTTCACTTTTTTGAAAACTAATTAATTAATTAATTTAAAAAAATATTAATTCATCAAAATGGACCAGTCAAATTCTCACAAATGCGGAGAGAGATTTAACGGTTGCCTTTATAAAACCAACCAACCAAATCCCGCCACGTCATCACACCGCGTCGCGTGCGTTTTTTCGAATCAAAATCAAACGGCGGAGAGAGACGTATTCCAAACGGAACGGATTAGTCTCTTTCTGTCTCCGTCCAAAACGTGTCGAAACCGGTTTAACCGGTTACCGGTCACCAAACGGCGATGAATTTGTGGTGGACCCACTTTTACTTCAACCACCGCTTCCATTACCACCGTCCACCGCCACCACTTAAAAAAAAGAGCATTTCCAAAAAAAAAAAACTCTTTTTAAATATTTTTTTTAATTAAATAAAAAAGTTAGGAAAAAAATGATTATTATTTAATTGGATATTAAGATATGATTTAAGAGAGATAAGGGCTTGAAGAGGGTCCTCTTTCTCTTCTCTCTTTCCGATTTTGAAGAACTGAAAAACTGATTTTTGCTGAGAAATTTCTCAAAGAACCAAAAAAAAAAAAACACAATCAAAATAGAAAGAGAAAATTTTGATTTTTTTTCTAACCTGCAATAGATTTTATTTATATCATAATGAGAGAGAGGAAAAAAAATAGTTGAAGAGAAGATTCTTGTTCAATTTCAGAATTTGTTCATCAATTGGTGTTTTTCTGATTTTGATTAACACTGTAAGTATTTAGCATTGTTTTCTGATTTCTTCTACTTTTTTTCTTCTTCTTTTATTTATTTATTTTAGTTTTGTTTGTTAATTAGTTGATTGGGTTTATTCTCTGATTTATATTAATTGAGATCTTGATTGATTTTTACTTTATTATTTTATTTTATGAATCATGAGATGTGAAGAATAATGGGTTCTGCTCAAAATTTGATTTTTTTTGTTTGTTTCTACATTGGATTGATGGATTCGTTTTTGCATGATTGTGTTCAATTGAAGCTTCGTGTTGTTTATGTTGTTTTGCTGTTGTTTTTCTGAATCGGATCTATTTGTTTATTATTCTACTACAAGTGACATTTTGTTTTGATTTTCCTCCAATCAAGATGAAAAAATGTTATTTTTGTGGATTTATAGTTGGTTGAAGTGAGTGGATTGCGATCTGAAATCAGTGTGTTTTTCTTTTGTTGATTTTTCTGTGTATTGGTTGTATTGGCTATGCATCGATGATTTTGATGAGTATTGTCTTTTTTTTTTGCAAAGGTGGGGAAAAGTGGGATTTGTGAATTGTGTTTTATTAACTGTGTTTGAATTGAACAGGTTTTTGATTTTGCTGTGGTGGATTGAAGTTTTTAAGAGTATTTTGAAGAGACATGTTGGAGGGTCGTTCCTGTGTTGTTCCGAGGTTGTTTTGTAGCTCTTGTGAAACGGAGAACGATTGGTCTTACATGAAGTACATGCTGGATTTGGATATCAAAAATGGGAAGAGACCGATGGAAATTGATGATGCTGGGGATGAACATCATCCTAAGAAGTGTACTAAGATGTTGGAGTCTTGTCACATAGTTGAAACGGTTCGTCTTTCGATTCAGCAGAATAAGGATTCTGTTCTTTCCCGAGTAGATCAGGAAATCATTGAGCCTGTGGATGTTTGTGAAGGGGTGAACCCTGGTGGTTCAATGGATTCATTGGATTCTGGTGTTCAGCAATCTGATGAGGAGCAGCAGGCTGGAGATTCGTCGGATTCTGGTTCACTTTTGCCGCGGATGAACCGAGACAGCTCGATTGCTTGTCTCAGCCGATGTTCAAGGTCTGATTACGGTTCGCTTGCTTCTCTTAATAGGAGCTTTCGTAACATAATCCGAAGTGGCGAACTCTATACATGGAGGAGACTAAATGGTATCATGGAACATTGGGTTTATTTCTCATGTGCCCTTCTTGAATGGGAAGCCTACGATCCGATTCGCCAAAGATGGATGCATTTGCCGAGGATGGCTTCGAATGAATGCTTCATGTGTTCTGATAAGGAATCCTTAGCTGTAGGAACTGAACTTCTTGTGTTTGGGAGGGAGTTAAGATCTCATGTGATTTATCGATACAGTCTTTTGACTAACTCGTGGTCATCGGGAATGAGAATGAATGCTCCGAGATGTTTGTTTGGCTCTGCAAGCCTTGGAGAGATTGCAATATTAGCAGGTGGTTGTGATTCGGAGGGACGTATACTTGACTCGGCTGAACTTTACAACTCGGAGGCCCAAACATGGGAGCTACTCCCAAGTATGAAGAAACCAAGGAAGATGTGCTCTGGTGTATTTATGGATGGAAAATTTTATGTCATAGGCGGAATCGGCGGACGCGATTCCAAGCTTCTTACTTGTGGGGAGGAGTATAATTTACAGACTAGAACATGGACGGAGATTCCTAACATGTCACCCGGGCGAAGTAGTAGAGGTTCTGATATGCCTGCTACAACCGAGGCACCACCTCTCGTTGCCGTTGTAAATAATGAATTATATGCTGCTGATTATGCTGACATGGAAGTTAAAAAGTATGACAAAGAAAGAAAACTGTGGAATACCATTGGGAGACTTCCGGAACGAGCGGTTTCGATGAATGGCTGGGGGCTTGCATTTAGGGCATGTGGAAATAGGCTTATTGTTATTGGTGGACCAAGGACTCATGGTGAGGGTTTCATTGAGCTCAATTCTTGGGTGCCTAGTGAAGGACCTCCACAATGGCGTCTACTCGATCGAAAACAACGATCTGGTAACTTTGTTTATAATTGTGCTGTGATGGGTTGTTGAACCACTGAATGGTGCAAAAATTACACATCATGAAGCAACTATCATTCATCCTCACTGGATTCTTGCTAATTGGTACTACTCTCCCCATTCTTTCCATGATATTTTCGTTTCAAACGCGGGAATGAGATTAAGATATTAATCAAGATTAGGCAGGAGCATCTCAGTCTTTTATTTTAATCTTATGTTCACAATTTAATTCACTTTTTTCTTTGTTCCATTGAAAAATTTGTATCATCACCCCATTTTCATTGACAAGATTTTTCAAAGCTTGGTATCATATCATATCATGTAGCAAAAGAAAATAGGTCAAATAATTGAAGTTCCAACACAGATTTAGTAGGTTACTGGTGTTTGTTTGTTTTCAGCAGCTTCTCTTGAAGAAATGAAATAATTTTCTTGATTATGTATTGATTCAATTTTCCATTGAAATTCATCAACTTTGTATCTTAATCTCTCTATTCATTTATTTGTGCTAACTTATTAAATACCATAGTTATTAGATATTTCTAATTCTAAGTTCATGACAATGGTCCTAACCATGATGCGAGAAACTCGTTTTGCACCCTGAGTTGCTTTAAATGTCAAGTTGAGTGGTTGAATCATAATTATTAGACATAAAAAATGTCCTTAAACAACCGTAGTCCTTGTTATAACTTCTGTTATTGTACTCATCTGTCTGTGTTATGTTAACAGTTAAACAATGACATAAAAAGTTAGATTTGTCCAATGTTTTTGTACTAATATGTAAAAAAAAAAGTAGTTATGGGTTTGGAATGTGTTAGATTCAATGAAAATGGAAGAATGAGTTAGAACTTTGATTAACAAGATATTAGGTTAATTATAAATGTTAGTAAACGTTAGTGGTGATTAAGATTTTTGTCACATGTTTTCAGATAATGTTTGCATAGTACTTGTTCATTTGTTGCACTTTGTGTGTCTATGTTTGTGATATGGTCTGTTGTGTTGATTGGCTTCTGCTCAACAAGTACTAAGCTGTACAGAGTCAGGTTCTGTAAATTTGGTAAAAGTTTTCTGTTGACATACTTTAGGTTGAGGTTAGTGGAGATGTACTATCTGTGTCAAAAAGAAAATATCAGTATGATTTTGTATGATTTATAAGTACAAAATTGTGACCTTCAATCTCGAGGAATTAGTCTCTGCCATTCCACTCTGATTGAAAAATTAGTCTCTGTAGTTGCGTGCAGATGCTTAAAAGAAGTCTGGGCAGTTACGCACACATATGCACTCTGTTTGAAAAATTAGTCTGTGCAGTTATGTTTAAAGAGATAATTAGTTTCTAATTGATATAATTAATTTTTTTTAGATAATTAGTTTCTAATTGATATAATTAATTTTTTTATGTGGACACAATCTATGAGTTTGATCCAAGTAGAAGTATTGTGAGATGTGATATGATTATCCAATATGATTGTTAGTTAGAGCAAGATTTTCTCCTTCTGTCTGCCTTATCATTTGTTTGTTTGCTATTTTTATATACTTCTCAGGAATTCAGATCTTATCAGATTTTTGTTTTCTTCCTCCGCACAGTTATGGAAATGTTCAGTCAATCATTCAAATTGGTTAGCTCAAGATATACTATTATAGAGTTAAATTAAATAGGATAACATTCAATTTTCAAAAATATATCTTATGATTTTATTCTTTTCCACTGTATTTTTCACTCTTCATCACTTAACCAAACATAACACCATAATTTTAAATTTTTTATTTTTTATTTTTTTAATGTTTTGAGTTTAAAAGTTACTAATTTTTGTATCAAGTTTGTTTTTGTAATTAAACTTATATATGAATAAATTTTCTAAAAAATATCAAGTTTGTTTTAATGTTTAGTTTCAGACTAATTCTAAGGATAATAAATTTCCCTCTTGTGCAATAAATTTAGTATATTTTAACCAATTTTATATTTTAAGTCATTTATACAAAATATCATATTATTAAAGAAATGAGATTATTAAGGTAGTAAGGTCTGTAAGAGTTTTTTTAGAGAAAACCTTATAAACGACGTTATCAAGTTTAATAGCAGAGGATACATGCATCTAAGAAAACGATGCTTCTGTATCAAATGAAGTACACCAACGATGCATGATACTATACCACGTCTTAATCTTTTTTGATTGTAGCACATTTTATCTTTTATAAAATCAAAAACTATATTATAATTAAAGAAGTCAAACACATGAGACAAAATGTAAAATGAAACAAACTATACATATAAGAAAATTTAGAAAATTAATTTCTATATCAAACGAAATCAGAAGAACACAAAACTGATTGTCTTTTATGCGTGTCCATAATTTAAGTTTCAAATTTTAAAGATGCTATTGGTTTTTTACCAAACCACCATGAGAAGAGAAATGCCCTCCAAAAAATTTGAGGATTTCTTAATTCACCCATTGATACTCTTAGGCATCTAGTGAATTTTCTTTTATACCCTCTGCTTTTGGAGATACACATTCGGACGCACCTTTTTTTGTTAAAATTTGGATGTTTTCGGAGCTAGGACTACGGAAAAATTTTCTACTGGTAGATGATGGAAAAAACTTCAAAATAATTCAGTTCAAGGAAACTTCCGTATATGCACCTCCGGAACATATAAGCGCCGGAATGTTCCGTAGATATAGCTCCAGAAGTTTCTGCTATATTTTAAACTTACATGATCACTCCCCCATTTTTGTCTTTTCTTCTTCCACACTCACCTTCACCAACCTAAAAAACCCTACATTTTCAATATCATTTTCACTCCAAAATTCCAACTTTTTCGCGCAACAAATCAAAGGGAGTAAGAGAAGATAAAATTTCAGGTAAAGATTGCACTTTGTCTACTACATTGCTCACATTAATCATCAAAATTTTGGAAAAAAAGTAACATTGCTTCCAGAGCTGTACCTTCGGAATGCGTTAAAGATGAACACTTTCAGGTGTACACCTCCGGGACGTGTCTATTCTGTTATTTTACAGCAGATTTGTAATTTTTGTTTATTTTTCTTATTGTTTACAAATAGATATGGTGCACCCCGATAATATCCCCAAAGAATTAGTTTCCACAAACGATGTTTCTCTGAATGTTCAAGGGGTTGTCGTAAAGTCGGTAGATGTCGGCGTTGATTTTAATAGCAAGCAAGAGTTTAATGATCGTGATAGCATGCTCACATGAATTCGTAGGACTGCAACTAGACTTGGTTTTGGTGTGGTTATAGGAAGATCAAATAATGGTTCAGAAAGAAGAAACGCTTTTGTAACTTTGTTGTGCGAAAGAAGCGGGAAATATCAGACTCATCTACGGAAGTTTAAAAGAGACGACATCGGTAGTAGACAATCTGAATGTCCTTTTAAGCTTCATGGTTACATGTTGAGTACCAAAAAGTGAAAATTTAGTGTTATTTGTGGTTTGCATAACCATGAATTGTGCTTAAAGTTACAAGGCCATCCTAGTGTATGTCGGCTCAAGCCGAAAGAGAAGACATGTATTAGTAACATGACCTTGAATCTTGTCCAACCGAAAAATATACTTGCCACATTGAAACGTAAGGAACCCGATAATATATCAAATATAAGGCAAGTGTATAACATTCAGTATCGCACCAACAAGGTGATTAGGGGAGACAGAAGTGAGATGCAACAACTGTTGAAATTGTTGGATGATAACAGTTACGTGTCCTGATACAGAACTTGCGACGATGGAGTTACGATCCGAGATATTTTTTGGACTCGTCTGGATTCGATAAAGTTGTTTAACACGTTCTCGATAGTGCTCATTCTTGATTCTACCTACAAGACCAACAAGTATAAACTTCCTTTATTTGAGATGGTTGGTGTTACGTCTACCGAGAAGACATATACTGTTGGTTTTGCTTTTCTGGAGTGTGAAAAAGAGGACAATTTTACATGGGCAATTGGGGTGTGTCAGTCACTTTTGAAGGACTAAGTTGAGATGCCTAAAGTGATTGTTACTGACCGCGATACCCCGTTGATGATTGCGGTTGCAAAGGTATTTTCTTCTTCTAATGCATTACTTTGTCGATATCACATAACAAAGAATGTGAAAAGTCGGGTTAAACCCGCAGTGAGGGAAAAACAAGTAGAGTCCGAGGGTGGAAAATTGGTGAAGGTTGGTGTGATTGTTGGAAAAATAATGGATCCATGGAATCATATACTAAATTCTTCCACAAAATAATTATATGCTGATTCCATCATTCAATTTCGGAAAGTGTGTGAAAAGTATCATGCTTTATTGAAATATGTTGAAAGCACCATTATTGATCATGTGAAGGAGAAGATAGTATGTGCGTGGAATGATAATGTACAACACCTTGGAAATACAACCACCAACAGAGTTGAGTCGGCCCATGCTAGTTTGAAAAATTGGTTGGGTAATAGCAAGGGAGATTTGTGTAGAGATTGGGACTCTGTAAATCTTATGATTAAAAGCCAACATAATGAGATATAAACAACATTTGGTCAGAGTATAACGGTATTGGAATATCGATTTAAAGAAAACATTCTTTATTCTCAATTGATCGACAATATGTCTCGGTCGGGGTTGAACTATATTTTCACGAGGTCAAACAAGTTAAAACTGTAGGTTCTGATAGTGCAAAGTGTGGTTGCACTATTGTAAAAACCTATGGTCTTCTATGCGTCGCTAAGCAAAAAATGTAACAGAGTCGCCACCGAATTTTATTTATCCCAAGGAGGGAAAGGGAAATAACGATAAAACCTTTAGGGAAAGAGCATGGTCATCGCAACCAAGTCTTAGAATTCGGGAGTCGGTTATGCGAGGGGAAGGTATTAGCACCCCCTCACATCCATCATACTCAATGGGAACCTTCTAAGTTGTTTAGCTTGAACAGGTGTTTTAATCTAAAAGTTTGCTTGCTTAAAAGAAAAGAGGGGTTGATTTTTTATTAGAGTGCTCGCCAAGGATTGTGGCCCTTGTGCCTACGTATCCTCACTTAAAAGAAGTGAAGAATCATAGCTCC